AAGCGCTTCGTCGCCGAGGAGGTCGACCCGACGCTCCGCTCCGAGGCCGCGTTGGCATCGACGGCCGTGGCCGCGGCGTCGCCCGAGGGCGGCCCGGAGTCCGCGGGCGCCGCGCCCGCGCCGGCCTTCGAGCTCAGTGGCGAGCTCTTGGAGAAGGCGCTGGCGGTCTGCGTCGCCGCCTGGAAGAAGGGGCAGCAGAGGAATACCGGCGGCCGCGGGCGCGCGCGCGGGCTCGCCGCGGCCGCCGCCTCCACGGCCGCGTTCCTCGCGGAGAAGACGGCGAGCAAGACGCTGTTGGCTGAGCTCGATCAGGCGCGCAAGGAGCGGCGGAAGCGTGAGTCGCAGGACGCCAAGGCGATGGAGGAGTGGGACCGGGAGAACAAGGCGCTTCGCGAGCGAGAGTACTCGGTTTTCTTGGACCGCCGGAAGAAGAAGAAGGAGCAGCTGCGTCGCGATCGCTTCAACTCCACCATCGCTCGTGAGAAGGAGGTCTGGGCCAAGAACGATGCGCGGCTCAAGGCGATGCCCGCGGCTGCAAAGGTCCGATTCGTACGACGCGCCGTGAATCGGCCGAACGCCTCCGGCGGGTCGCCGCGGACCGCGCCCTTGCGCGAGGACGCGTCGTCGTCGGACGAGGACGCGTCGTCGTCGGACGAGGACGACGACGACATGGATCCGGAGGACGCCTTCGGATACGAGTCGGAGGAGCTCGTCTCCGCCGAGGTCATCTTCGGCGAGGAGGACGCGCGCGACGCCTACGAGCTCGCGCGCGGCGCCGGTCCCCTCGTCGAGTTCTGCGACTCGCTCCACGAGTCGTGCTCCGGCGAGTCAAGCAGCGTCGCGCCCCCGGACGAGGACGAGTCCAACGACGGCGCGCTCTCCCTCGTGGGCAAGATCGTGGTCGTTTCTGGCACGAGCTTCAAGGGCTTGAAGAAGGCCGTCGTCCAGACTCGCGTCTTGAAGTGCGGCGGCCTCGTCCGGAAGCGGCTCTCGGGCCTCGTCGACTACGTCGTCTTCGGCGAGAACCGCGGCGTGGACAAGGACCGCGACATCCGCCGGGGCCGGTACCCCAAGATCACCGTCATTTCCGTCGAGGACGTCATGGCCGCCGCGGAGTGCGACCTCGAAACCGCGCTCGCGGCCCAGCGACGCGAGCCGACGGCTACGGAGGACATCCCGGAATTCTTCACGACCGAAGACGAGACGGCCGATCGCTGTATGAAGGGCTTCTGCGACGACCCGCTCTGCACGCGCGCGCACCAGTGCAGCAGCAAAGAGCGCGGATGTTGCCACAAGAAGCACGCTCTGCTCCCGGGTCCGGCGGACCGCTGCTTTCCGATCGAGAAGAAGCACGGGAAGTTGGTGCGCATGCAGCGGTGCTACACGTGCACCAACGTCGCGCGAGTTGACAACGAAAAAAGGGCCGCTGCGAGACGCTTGGCGCACCAGAAGCGAGTCATGGAGGCGTACGCGTTCTACGCGGACAAGGACGACTTGCCGGCCGACGACGCGTCGCGCGAGACCTACTGCGAGACCTTCAAGGACCGATTTTTGGAGTACCACGCGGACGTCGACGCGCTCTACCGCAGGAAGTGGGGCCTGCCCGAGGGCGCGCCGCTGCCGATGCTCGCGCACGTCTTCATGGTGTCGGTCGGCTCCCAGAGCCTCGAGCAGGAGGGGATCACGTCCTCAATCCGGAACAGCTCGCCGGGGATCTTCGTTCAAGGGTCGGGCGAATTCGAGGACCTGTGCCGCTTGTTCACGACGCGCGAGTCGCAGGCCATGGGTCCCAAGGCCGTGCTCGGTTTCGACTGCGAGGGCTCGCGCGACCTCGGCAAGCTCATGGAGGGCCCGTGCCAGCAGGTCGTCCTGGTCCTCGCCGACGAACTCGATCTGCTGGCGCTCTTCCGCGTGATCGGCATCGGCGGCCCGATGGGCGCGCCGCCGTACCAGGTCGGCATCCGCCTGACGCCCATGCGGCTCGGCGCGGACGGCCGCCCCGTCGTCCCCGGTCCGCCCGGCGCCACGTTCGCCGCGAACCTTCGGGACTTGGAGAAGTTCCTAGCGAAGGACCGCCGCCGCGCGGCCTCGCCCGTCGACGAGTCCACGGCCGCCGAGCCCGCGCCCGTCACGGTGGACCAGACCTAGGTTAACTTTAGCTTAGCCAGAAGTTTAGCCAGCGTGCAGTGTGTTCGTTGATTTGTAGTGAACAGCCATTGCAAGGTCCATCGCGCTTGCTAATTGACTGATCGGCGCTGCTCTCAGCACGCGCTGCGAACGTCGAAGGGCGAGTAGGACTTCTCCGTGACGACGAGCACTCAAGAACGCGACCGAAACGCCTATTCGGGTCAACCGCTTTGGAGCGCCGAACACACTCGCAGAAACGTCGGCGACGACGTTAGCGCGACGATGCCGTCCAGCGAGCGAGCGACGATGCCGTCCAGCGAGCCCGACTTCGCGTCCATGACCGAGCGCCAACAGGTCGCATACTTGCTGAAGGTGCGCTCCGCCGAGAAGCCGGCGCGGCGCGGCGGCGA